ATCGAATATTATTAATTTTTCCTCCCCCTTTTCCTTCATCCACGAAGTCCACGCTTAAATCGTTCCTTTCTTCTTTCTTTCCTTTCGTTTTTTTCGAGAATCACGTTTTCGTCAACGTGCATTCGAGATGGAACTCCGTGGTACAGAAATGGAACTCGTACGATTGAAATATGTGATACAACGTGGTAAGAAAAACAAGATAATCGAGAGACGCGCGGTGGCACGTTTCTAACCAGTCGTGGTGATTTATCGCGCTGGTTTATATTTATGCTTTCATTTGCCAGAAAATTAGAAAAGGAGAAAGGGAAGATTCGTCTGTAACGTGAGACGGTGAAGGAATCGTTTAAATTTTATGATAGAGGCTGGTGAGGATAAACCCGAATAAAATAAAACGCCGATAATTTAACCCGATTCTCGTTACAAGAATCATGGTTGATTCTAGCGAGCGTGGAGAAAATTAACGATATCCCTCGATCTCAAACGAACTCGATCTTAAAATTGGAAAAATTCGCCTTGTTACAGAAAGATCTGTTTCTCTTCTAAAGAAAGAGAAAAAAGAAAGAAAGAGTATCGATTCTGACGGATATCGTTCACGAGCGATGATGAATCGCGCTGATTCCGGATTAACATAAAATAATTCAAATTACCGGCACCGGATCGCGAGCAGACCTCGAAGATCCGGTACACGAATCTAATTTTAATTCCCCCCCCATTCGCTCGCCCCATTATTCATTCGCCAGTTACCTAGTTCGATTAATTAATTATTATCCTGATAAACGTCCCGCTCGATAAATCGTTATTCCACCGATGAAATCGTCCACCCAAACGCGTGTTAATTAACCGCTGGAGATCTTTTCTCTCTCTCTCTCTCTCTCTCTTTTCCTTTTTTTCTCCGGGAATGATCAAGCCACGATAAACGCGTTGCAGCGCGTTTAATGCGGGATTTAACGAGGAAATGATGCGAAACCGTGGATTTTCGCGCGTAAAACATTGGGTTTTGTGTTGGAGGTTAGCCGGGCCCCGAGCTACAACAAGCTTCGAAACGGTTTTTCGTGACCCCACTACTCTCCCTCCCCTGTTTCAAGCGCGGGGTGTGAAATCGGGCGAGTCGATCGAGAGAGCCTCGCCGGATGAATATTGATGCGGCCCAAGTTCGACCGAATTCTGAGGGAGAAGCAGGGAAGATCGAGGCGAAGTTTGAAACGCGGGGGTGCATCGCCGATTTTTCATTCGGGAGAATCACGGAGGAATCGGGAAAGTGAATTTCTTTCTCGATTTTTTCTTTCCTTTTTTTTTTTTTTTTTCTTTCTTTTCGAAGGAGAAGCGGATCGAAGATGGAACACGCTATTCTTGATCAACGATCTTACGATTACGGTCATTCGATCGAGATTTCTCATGGATTGAAAAAAAAAATAGGTGATTATCGAGAGATATTCCTAATCGTTGGAATGAATGTATTTTATTTCAAGGGGGAAGAACGTGACACGACGTGTTGTCACTTTCAGCGAGAATTATGCGAATTCGTGTAATAAAGGTCGCCACAAACTTTCACGCACATTTAGGATTAGCCATGACAGCCTCAAATGAAGCGGTCACGTCTCTCGTAAGAAGGATTTCACGTGAAATTTTCTCGTTTTTTTCCTTTTTTTTTTTTTTTTTTTTTTTGGTTGAAATACGATGTTCGTACGACACGATCACGAATCCTTACTAAAATTCTACGTTCGTTTCAACGAATTTGAAACAAAGAGAAGAATGCAGATATGATCTTCGAATTCACGTTTAATGGAAGAGGAAAGATAAATTCGTTAAAAGTGGAGGAAAGAAATTTTTATAAAAATCTGTCCCTACATGATCGAGTTCGATTCGACTTTCTTCGCGGAAAGGAAAACTTTTACATCTATTTACGATAATAAGAAGGCTTTTGGTCAGCTTTTGAAAAGTGCTCGAAACCTCGAAGGACTTAGCTTCAAAGTTTAAAGAAAAACGGAACGGAAGGGGAAAGAGTAGGGAAGAAAGGAGGTAGAGTTTTTCGAGAAACGGTTTTAAGTTAGATCTACTAATAAATGGGTTCCCGTTAGAGACGGTGGGACGAGGAACCGTTTAAATTCTCTTCTTTTCGTTATTTAATTAAAGACGAATTGAAATTGAATCATCATCGCGTTAAAAGAGTGGAAAGTTTCTTTTAATGGGGGAAAGGACGAGTAATTTTTTTTAAAACGAAAAGTATATTAATTTTTATACACGGATACGTTGGAAAGTTTGGTTAAAGATTTTGGTCGGACAAGTATCTACGAGGAAGCTTGTTTTCTATCGCATGCCCCTCCAAGAAGTTTAGGTTACTCTCAAAGAATAATAAGCAACTCTGTAGGCAATATCGAAGTCTTCCAAGTCCTGAAGGACTGCGCGAAAACTTTTTCCGATCTTGTCCATTTTCGAACTGCAGCGACAAAGGAGGAGGAGAGGGCAAAGCTTTAAAAGAAAAAGGTACTTTGAAAGTACGAAAATGAAATAAAAAAGGAGAAAGTCACAAAGGGAGAAAGAACTGGAAAGAGAGTTATATTAAAAAAGTGTCGATACAACAACTGCTTATTTCAACCGTAAAATATATTTTCGATTTCTTCTTTCATTCATTCTTTCTTTCTTTCTTCCTTCCTTCCTTCCGAAATGAATATCCAAATGAATTGCGCGCGATATTTCCATTTGACGAGCCATTTTCAATTGCTTGGACGAGCGAAAAATAACGTAACAAGAATATTCGACAATCGATAGATGAGGTGAAAACACGGGAAAGTTCGGTTCGGTTGTTGGAAACCGGCTCGAGATCGATCGAGTTTCGTTCCTTTTGAAACGTAGGCAACTCGATTGCATCAACGGGATAATAAACAACTCTTCGAGCGAAAACTCGCAGCACTTTGATCGAAAGTTCAAGAGAAACCGCCAACCACTGCTATTCCTAATATTCCGTAATAATTACGCATTAAAAATAAAAAAAATATTTCAACATCGAACGTAAAATTTTCGCTTCGCTCTCCCCGCTTTAACGGTGTAATCGTTTGTCTCGTTAAAACTTCGCGCAATCGAAATCGAACGTTCGCGATCGAAAACAACTGGATCTCGATAATTTAAAACGGAAACGAAACGATGATCTCGAAAAAGGAAGGGAAGTGCGAAGGGACTTTTTGGAAAGGAACAAAGGAAAGGGACGAGGTCCACGTACGAAGGGGAAAAAGAAAACCATTCTTAAATTAATTGCTCGAGTGATTTTTGGCGGCGAAAAAATTGAATCGAAAGGATCGCATTATGTACATTTTCCAAGGTGATTGAAGAAGGGATCCGTAGAAGTTGGTCCACGCGTGGGGGAAAAGCTCGATTACGTCGGTCGGGCGTAATAAGCAAGTCCGTAACCGATGTCGGGGACGAAAGCTGGAAATCCCCGATAAAGTTTGTCGGGCACGCGAGAGCTCGGTTATATTTCGGATGGAAAAGTGGAGGCGCGCGCGCAAAGGAGTAACCGGATGCAAATTGGATTACGCGAGGCGAAATAAATGCAGTGGCGTGCGAATGTGTGCCGAACAGGGAGGAAATTTACGGCACGGTGCGTATTATGCGCCCCTCGTCGTCGAGCTCGACTTTTACTACGAATTACCCGTGTCTCCGCTCGCAAAAGAATTTGCAATCACCGCATCTCGTCAAACGAATGAAAATTCGGATCGTGTAAACAGAATTTCCTCCCCCGTTGTGCGTGAACGTTGCGTGTACAAGACGAAAACAAAGATAAAAATCTTCTTTCCTTTTTTCATCTCGATTCAACGAAACATGTTCCGAAACGAGAGAAGAAACGTTCGATCTTTGAGAAGAGAATTTCTGGAAACTGATATTCGCTGTCCTCCTTGCGAATGTCCGACAACGGAGCGTAAGGATCGTTTCTCTACGTTAACGATAGGAACAACTCAAGCTCTTTCTAATCGTCCCTCCGATCAACCTTTCTCATTTCCGCTCGTTTCGTTTGCCCCCTCCGTGTAATTATGAAGCGAAACGTATCACCTGTGCAATTCGTCGTCAATCCCCGCGGTCACAATTCCAAATTGACCAACTACGTTCAAATATTCCAACACTCGCCCTCTCCCCTCCTGTCCCTTCTAATTAGTTTCCACTGTCCTTCGAATCGGCCCCGATAAATGGCGACGACACGTCGCGGTGAGGGCGACCGAATTCGAAAGAGCTTTCGCGAGAGATTTGGAAACGAGGACGGGTTCATTGCGACGAGAAGGTGAATTGGATGGAATGTACAATTGGAAAAAAGAAACTAGGGAGGGAATAAGGTTGATAAGCCGGAGGCGTTGGGGGATATCGGTGTTTCCATTGGATCTCCCCTCTCTCTGGAGATGCTCGTTTACATGGACGTGGTAATAAGCCACGCTCGAGTGCACTTTCTCGAAAGGAACGTTATTGGAGAGTTTCTCGTGGAAATTCGTGTTTCGAGTAGAAGAAAACGGATACTTGATTACGATGCGTCGCGAATCAGACGGATTGTTGACATTTGATGGATTTCCATTTTCGATGGAGCAAAAACCTGAGAGAGATGAGAAATTCGCGGGAAGAGATAAGATGAAAGATAGATCCGACGCTAACCGCGTTTAACAGCCCCCCCCCCCCGAATTACACGTTTCAGAGACAGATATATAAATCGTGCTCCTCGGTGAAAACAAAGGACAGCGATGCGTCATGGAGAATAATACGCGGCGTTAATAATAGGAAACGCTGCAATGCGTGGTGGATGTAGCTCGCAGCTTGGAAGTGTTAACTCGTTGAAAATAAATTGCGATAACTCGTTACGAATCCGTTATATCCGCAAAATATCGGCCGCAACGATTTATAATTAACCCTCGAAACAAAGGATCTCGTGGTTCGTTTTACCAAGGAAATCTGGAAGGATTTCCTCGACTCGAGAGCAGGGCAGAGGAAGAGAGGATGAGAACAGAGAGAAAAAGAGGACTCACCCTTGCCAGTGCCACGGCTGGAAAGCTGTCCCACGCGAGTTGCGCTTCCTCGCCCGTGTTTCCATGACGTTGACCCGAGAGGATCCTCGCCGCCGTGAGAGTGCTCATCCCCATTCCGTCGCCGACGAAGAGAACGACGCCCCTCGCCACGCCGCCCGCTGGCGCGCTCCCGCTCGCGCTCCAAGTCGCAGCCGACGCGCGAATACGCCCTTCGATCGCGCGTGTCGCACCCTCGTACCATGCCACCCTCTCTGCGAACAGAAATGTTTCCTCGCTTCAGTCTGCGCTCAACTACGCCTGTCTTAATTCATCTGATCCACACCGCGCTATTTCTTGGGGAAAAATTCGTCGGGATTTTTTTACCGGAAGAAGAGATCGGAAGAGTTTCTCTTTCGATCACCACCGGTTTTTCGTTAGATTCGAGAGAAATGAGGCGGGTGTATTCGAAAATTTCGTCGCGAGGATTTCGAGCGGATATCTTAATTGAATCTGTCGGCCGACTCGTTTTACTTTCGAGAAAAGAAGCGAAAGGTGTGGCGCTTCCGATCACGAGGGGGACGTTTCGCGCGATTAGATAAATCAAATCGATGGCGAGATGGGGAGAGAGAAGTTGGAGTTGGAAGTTGCCTCGATGGGGTAAGTTGGGCGAATTTGGAATGATTTGGGATTGGCCAAAATATCGCCAGAAGCGCGTTAACCTGAACGACTCTCAGTTTCCTACCAAGATTCCTACGTCGTTACGATTTGACCCTAGGAGCACGCTAGGTTGCCGACTAGTAGCCGCTAATGGCCAAGTTTAAACCGTATCGCGGGTCGAACCCGCATTTCCATGAAAGCAAGACCCGATACGAGTCGCCTCTGTGATTAACTCCAACTCGTATCTTCCCTCGGATGAGTGAAAAAAAAAAAAAAAACCAATTTTGAAAATTGTTACGTCTCGCTCGACACGATCTTCTCGTTTCAATGCGACCATCTTCGTTTTATATATCGTTCGAGGGGAAGGATCAAAGTTGTAATTGCGAATGTAATTACCGTTTATAGAGGAGAGTGTAAATTCCCGTCGAATGATCCTCGAATATATATCGATCGTGCGAAAATTTTCATAAACACGTACGTTTCGAGGCGGATAATTAATTTAAATTGAATAGAAGGACACGGATTAAAACGAATGAAATTTCGCGTAACCAAGTTTAATTTCTATTTGGGTGGGAGCGCGAATAGAATCTCGGGCATCGTTCGAGATATGAAAATTTTGTAAATCTACGGATCTCGCTCGTACAGTTAAAACGACAAAACCGCGTTTTCACCCACCCGCCTCGTTTCGATTAATCCGCCGAAAAACAAGGGAACGAAATTTATAAATACCGGTGAAATTTTCGCATTAAACGTTCAACCGTTTAATATCCTTAATTATCCCCTCCTCTTTTTAATCCCCGACGAATCGTTTCGCGATCGATCGATTTCCCTCGAAAAAACGGATTGCCTCGTTGAATTTATAATAATCGAGCGTGAAAACGATCGATACGAAACCGTATTCGCGCTTTTCCGGCCGATAAAAATTGGCAAAGAGAGAGAAAGTTTGAACGTATTCGGCGTCGAAATATTTTTACCGCGTTCGTTCCGGCCGTTGTTCTCTCTCTCTCTCTCTCTCTCTGTCCGTGTCGTTAAACCGAGCAGTGAAAATTTGATCCCCCTTCTGAGGAGAAGGAGGAGGAGAGGCAGAGATTTACGATGGCCGAAAGGGGGGCGATAGGAGGAATTTATTTCACTTGCCTCGCTGATATTTGCGAGTGCACCGATCGAAATCTCGTTTGTACGCGAGCGTCGGCCAAACACGTTCATAAATAAATACACGTGTCAATAATTCCGGCGAGACGCGCACACGCGTGGCATGGATTCGGTATAATTGAAATTTAATTACCAGGAACTAGCGCGTCCGATCACGGGTTGGCGATCTACGGTAGTTTGATACGAAACATGCGGGTATCGTGGACGCGATTCTGGACGGGATTCGCGATATAATTTCAATTGTGACAAAACTATGAGCAACTTTGCGAGATTTCCCTTCTCTCGACCAATGATTCACAGTAATTCGCATGCCGACGATATTTATTTATACGTTTGATTTTTGCGAAATATGAATAGATCCCTAACCTCTTTATAATCTTATAAAGCGTGGAATAATGTATTGATCGAATGATTGGATTTTTCTCAGATTAAACCGTGAGATCGTGAATCGAGTCGAATTAGTCGTTTCAACAATCGTGGCGATAGAAAGATTATTTTCAAGGATTAGTTCGAGCGAAGAAGAGTTCGATTTTTCCTTATCGAATAACGAAATTATTTCTACTCGTTAAGAAATTTAAGATAGAGAGAAGGCCACGTCATTGAGATTTTATCCTGACAAACCGAGAATTCATCTATTAAAATAGTCGCACGACGCAACAACGATATAGACTTTCGAACGTTCGAAAAATTTTCTTTCTTTGCGAAGATAAAGTATTAAGATATAGAAATTTTATACGTTAATTTATCCGTGAATTTGTTTCACCGAACGGGAAATGGTGGAGTTATTGGTTCGAGCGAAAAAGGTCTGGAGTGCAAAGGGTTAAGTTGGAGCGAGCGGTTGATTTATCGCCAAAGGAAATATCGAAGGAGGTACGGTTCGCGTGATACAGGTCCGTCTGTGGTCAGACACGCGTTGCGCTCGATACATTGTGATTTATTCGAGTTTTTCGATATTACGAATCTTACCGATCTTAAAAAGGAAAATCGTACGAATGTTTACGAGCGGAATGAAAGTTAAATTAATGGATCGAATTGCGTACGGAACGAGTATGGGAAAGTTTGTTGGCAAGAAAGGTCGCTAATGAAATAGCGAAGACTTGGATAGAGACTCGTAGCGGATAAGATAACCGCACGAGGGTAATGGTGGAAAGCTTGGAATATTAATAACGCGACTTGTAATATCAATAAGAAGCTATCGAGGAACGAAAGAAAGATGAAAGAAAAGAGATCGTGAAAGGAACACCCCGTTCAGAACTTTGGATAACTTTGAGAAAGTACTAGGATACTTATCCTATCCGAGGAAAAGAAGAACTCGTAGGAGGATAAATGGTTTTAACGGAGAGTCGACACGAAAGGAAGAAATAATTTTTTTTCAAAAAATTTGAATCCCTCGTTTCACGATATTCCAAACATGTTCCCCACGAGTCGATCCTCGCGAGACCAACAACAGAAAAATCTAAATCTTTCCTTTCGAAATCCTCAAAAATCTATATCTAAGGACGTTTCTTTTCCTCCCTTAAAAAAAAAATTTCTTAATCGCAACTTTTTCCTCCGAAACGCTCGAGAATTCGCGATATTTCAAGTTTGACACTTGGAACAGTGTCGATGAGACGAGTTTCCCTCCCAACGATATACACGGCGAAAGAGGGAGCGAGCTTAATCCCCTTTCCTACCTTTTCATTCCTTTTAAAATTAAACGCGCCGCTTTAAATCTCGCGCATCGACGCGAGCGAGACAAGTGGAAAAACTTGGAACAATATGACGTCGAAATGGGAGGAAAAAGAAAAAGGAAAAAAAATGTTGGAGCAGAAGAAGAAGAAGAAGAAGAAGATCAACAACGTTATCCTTGTTCCCTGAAAGGGAGGAAAAATAGGACGAGCAACAATTTCCGTGGTATCTCGTCGCGCGATCCACCGGAAATTTTCCCTGCCGAGATTAGAGCGCGGAATAAATCGAGTTTGCGGTCGATCGTGGCAAGATCCCGTAATTCACGACCTAACTTATTATTATAGCGTTGTCGCGAGGCGAGGGGCCGTGTAGTTTAACGTAGCAGATCGAGCAGAGTCGGCTTCACGGTTGTGAATTCTTGCCGATGCTTACCCCGCAGCTGTAACCTACTTTCTTTGACGAGAGGAGAACCGGACGGCGGAACCGGATGCGAATATCGTTATCGGCGCGACGCGGACGGCCTTCTTTCGCCGCCACCTTTTTTCTTTTCTTTTTTTTTTTCGCCATCTCTACCTGCAATTTTAATTACGCCACCGATCCAACCTCGCTGCCTCTCGCTATTTCCTTCGCTTTTTAAGCGAGATCTTTTCTCTCTCTCTCTTTCTCTCTCTTTTTTCTTGTTCCTTTTAAAGCGAAATACGGATTCGGAAATTAATGAAAAGGAAATGGGAAAAAGGAACGATAATGGTTAACTTTGATATCGAATTTCAAATTTCGAGTACAAATTGGAGGTTGCGTAAGAATTGGAATTTCTTCTTGCGTCCACGTGGTATCGTTTCTTTTTTTTTTTAAAGGTTGTAATTTCGCGGATCGAAGAAGAAACGTTTCTCGCGCTAATGGTCTCATCAGGAATTCTGTCTCGGCGGAAGATAATTGGTATCGGCAAAGGTATCTCAAATAATCCCGTCTTTTGAGTTTCCCGCCGGTGAACACACGCTAATTAGTTAAACACTTTGCCGGTCATAATTAATACGGTCCTAATGAATATTCGCCAACGGGATCAAGTTGCGCCAACTTGCTCGCCAAGTTTGCTCCGACACGAACCTGTTTCATTCCTCCAGGGATTCCTCCGTAAAACTTTGCCGGGTTACCTCTCGCGGAATAGCCTGCGCGAGAAAATGAGAACGGCCGCCAGTTCGTTTCGTACGGATCCTCTCTCGAGATCGATAAGGGGGAAAAAAAAAAAAAAGAAAGAAAAACAATCGAACGAAAGCGGATAAATTCGTTACACGAGTCAAAAATTTTTCGTTCTCGTGGCGTTCGATCGAAAGAATGCCGGAATATTTCTCGGCGCGAATGAAATACTCCAAGATCGACGAATCCGATATATTTTTACCCGATTTCTATTTATTCTGTCGCGCCCGTTTTGCCTGGGATAAATCCATGTGTTGGATCAGGCGTTGGATAGAAAAAAAAGGGGGGGGAAAAGGATATTTATAGGCCGCGATACGAATCTCGAATTCGAGGGGAAACGATCACGCCGTTTATTTATCGCTATCGCGTTATCGTCGAGAGTTATCGCGGAAAGCTAAACCGAGAGCGCACGCAACAGCTTTGTCGTCGACGTTATCGTTCAACCACGCGGTTACTTTTTCGCGAAATGGAGCCGAATCGAGAGAGTACCAGCTTCTCGATTACGTGCCCTTATTTTATTTCGCCGACTTTCTACTCGGGAATAATCGAAAGAGGAAGGAAGGAAGGAAGGAAGGAAGGAAGAAAAATCTCGAAATTCGAA